TTTGTCAAAAAGGCCTTTAATCCATGTTATGAAGAAATGGTGGAGATTCTTGGAGGAGAAGTGCTATGTGTGTCAGTTTTACAAGGTGCCAAAATTCAACAAGCAAATTCAACTGTACAGAAAAGTATAGATTTACTTGAATTCTTTACTGGGCATGGAAGATTCCGATTTCACCAATCTTTTTTCAAGTAACAAATCAACTAAAACCAATCTCGTTCTTGACTCGAATCAAGTTGTTTTGGACAATTTTCTTGGTTCCAGGCTGTACTGGATGAATGAAAACAACTAGCTCACAATCGCTGATTCTGAAGATCAGAAAGAAAGACAAGTGAAGAATTCTAGTTCCTTAGTTGCAACATATTCACATATTGTTCGATGAAATTGAGCAGAAAAGAAACGAGGTGAGACTATTCATTAACGTAGCTATCGAATTTCAGAGAGACAAGTGGCGGAGATCGATTTCGTTTACTCATAAGGCAACTATGGAAACAGTTGTAATGGATACAGAACTTAAGAACAAAATTAAAGCAGATCTGGAAAATTTTCTAAAATCCAATCGCTGTTATCACCGATTAGGCCGTGTTTGGAAGAGAAGATATTTACTATATTGACCTTCCGGCACCGGTTAATCAACATTTATCGTCGTCACAATCAAATTTCTTCCCTACGATATATACGAATTCATATTAAACAAAATCGCCCATTATTCAGATCTGAAATTCCTTATGCTACAAACTTCAAACAAATCGCCGATCGTGATGGAGGATCTGGACCGTTACTTGAACACAAAATCAACAGCTTTGAGCTTTTCAGGGATTTCAAATTTCATGGATGGGATTTTTTCATGCCGTGGTGAAGTGCTATGATATTCACTATGTTGAAATACATCCATTTGGGACGAGAAATCTCAGTCTCCCCAACCTCAATTGATATCTTATGAGAACAAGTATCATTCATAACATGTAGCATTTCTCATAACAAGCTATTAAAGCTAGAGCAGCTTAATAATAAAGTTTATGTAGGTCCCGTTTGAGAGTGATTTTGAGAATTGATTTTGTGATCGAAATAAGAATCAAAAAATCAATTTTTTGGAATGAAAAATCACTCGCAAACAAGCTCGTAATATGACATTGACACATATGGAGTAAAATGTAGCTAAGAATCTCATAAGAGTCAATAACCAAGAAATGTACAATTTCACCTCTCTTGCACATATTAATAAAAATATGGTGCAATACAACATGGTATGTATTTTATAAAAATATTAAACCCCCGTTTGTCACCCATTATTTGAAAAATTAAAGGATTTTGAGTAGTATTTTTTTAAAAATGTGTGGTTAAAAAGTAGGAAAATTTTATTCGTGTAAAATAATTTATTGTGTGAATTTGTGGTGAAGAATAATACTGTAGCAAATAATGTAAAATTTTAATGGGTGACAAACAGGCTTTAAAAACACAACGACAGAGATGGATGACGGCAAAAATCATACATAATTACGCACTGAAGAAAAACTTCATAATCGATTTCAAATTGAAAAGTTAAATGGACCCAAAAGTTTGAATGCTCATATATCTCAAATACAGTTTTAAAAAAAGAAAAAGAAAAAAGGGTATATTGTCAACAATGTGCCTCCAAAATGCTATTTTATTGTAATTTGATTTTTCAATAATTTACTATCCTTAAGACTAAGTGATAAAATTTTCAAAATCAAGAATATGGAATATAATTTAAACACAATTTCAAAACAAAATAATACAGAAAAATGGATAATTTCATTAACTTAAGATTTAGGAAAAATGATTTTCCAACCAAATCTATTTATATTGTTATCTTGAAGCATACAACATTAAATTTTGAATTTTGAAGCGTATCATCAAATTTGAATTTCTGTTTGTCGGTTGCAGTTGTTTTGAATTCATTGGAGTTCAAATGCAGGTGATTTTTGGGGTTGTAATGAATTTGATTGTAGAAAAGTGAAGGTTATCTATGAGTGAAGAAGTCAAAAAGTACGATTGGAATATTGAAATAACGGTTAAAAAAAATCAATTTTTTGGGTTGAAAAATCGCTCCCAAACAGGATGTTATTTGAAGCCAGTTGCTTTAAATAGACAATGTCCGTAATTTTGGTCTACTTTTACAGAATATTCCGTAAATTTGGAACGGAAATGTTGTTTGTACAGCCCGAGCTGTACGGCTCGGGCTACAGCCTCCTCACAAGTGGGGGGGGGGGCCCCCCCCCAAGGGGGGGGGGGGGGGCTCGCACATTTTTTTATTGCGCGTGGGTCTTTCGAATTGTGAGAGGGCTGTACACGATGCTGTGTGAAGAGCACTGCCCAATTTGGAATAGTTAAAATGATAGTAATTCTGAAATTTTTATATTTTATTACTCTACATGCGTAAATTGCACATGAAAGTAGTAGAAAAGCTTCCATGGATTTTGATGCAGCTGAAAGAGAAAATCAAAATTCGAATCCGAATCCGAATCCGAATCCAAATTCAAGCGAAGAAAGTCGATCAGATTTTAGTCAAGTGTCTTCTCCTTTTCTGTCGAAAATTTTGTAACAATTGCAACTTGAAATGAGCAAAACTCGGTCTAATTCTATAACGACCTGAAATTTTTTTAAGTCATTACCTTGGTAAAATTTTATAATCAAATGATGTAAATTATATTGAGAAATTCGCCACATAAAGATAATAAACATTAATAAAATAAGTAAAAAATTTCAAGAGTTAGACTCATTTTTTAAGACGCACATTTGACGTACTTAACTATTTTTGATATCTTTTTGGACCATTTGGTATATCTACGATATAATTCTCAAAACATGATTCAAGATGACATAGGCAATTTGTAAATTTGATTAGCATATGAACGTCGAAATTTTTTAAAGTTAACATGTTCACAAAATTATCAAAATATTAGTTTGAAATTATCTACTTTGACGGGCCTTAATATGAAGAATGCAATATTTTTATTTGTTTAACATTCCACAATGACCTCTAAAATTGAGGCAAAAACATAGAATATTGACTTAATTGTTTCAATGGTCATTGAATTTAGGTCCATATCTTTGATTGATCACTGATATTTAAAATGTCGAGTTTTGATCACTAAATTTAGGTCAATATTTTCGATTACTCACTGAAGTTTAAAATGTCGAATTTTAGCAATTGAATTTTGAAAAATATTGGACATTACTCATTGAATTTTGAAAAATATAGTACATTACTCACTGAATTTTGAAAAATATTGTACATTACTCACTGTAAATTCGATATTTTTCAAAATTCAACAGTTATACTAGCGAGTAACGTACGGTATATTCCAAAGTTCAGTGGCCAAAACTCGACATTTTAAACTTCAGTGGGCAATCTAAGATATGGGCCTAAGTTCGGTGAGCAATCGAAAATATTGACCTAAATTCAATGACCACGTGACTCACGCTATAAAACTATAATAATTTGAAAACGTGTCTTTCAATCCAAAGACATTAGTATGACCTTCGTTTCACAACGTAGAGATTACACAAAAGATTAGTTATGCTATAGCTAATAGGCGTTGGAATGCAATTGAATGGTAAAATATGAAATATAATTGAAGTTCAACGCCTGTTTGATGATCATTATTTGGGAAAAATAGAGTTTTGAATCGTAATTTTTAAGAGAATATGTGGTTAAAAAATAGAAAAATTTTGAATGTACGTGTCAAATATTTTATTGGATAAATGTGCAATTAAAAATGGATATATAAAAAGGAGTTTAAAAATTAGTAATGTCTCAATAATGACAATATAGCTTAATGACCTATTTGAGATTTCTCTGAAAGCTCGAGAATCACTAATGAAAGTTACCCTATTTCAATTCTTAGGGTCCGTTTGATTGTAAAGATGGAATTTGGGTAGAAAGAAAACGAATTTCAAACAATTGAATTGCCTAGAAACTATTTTTCTGAGAATTATAAATTATTGTGTTTGATTGGTATAATTTTTCACGTTGAATATGTTGAAATAAAAGTGTCTTTTGGTATTCATTTGACTTTGTTTTACATGAAAATCGTCAATTAAAAAAAGATAGATTTTACTGGTATTAGCGGATGAGATTTGTTTCCATTGCCAACAACCAAAAAATAAAGATAAAAAAATCAATACTATCATCCATCTTTTGGTGTTCGTTTGGCTTTGTTTTATATGAAAATTGTCAATTAAAGGAAAATATTTTTTTTACAATAATTCTTAGAATTTGTTTCTATTGAAAAAAAAAATAAAGAAGACAAAAAAAAAAAAATTTGCCTAGAATTCCAATTCTTACCATACCCATAAGAATTGTGTTGGGGATCCAAGAGACCACCTTAAGGAACCAACAAAAATGGAGGAGAGTTTCTGTCGAGCCACACACGAGAAAATGACCAGCCTGCCTCTTTTAAAATAACCCCCACCCAACCGAAGACACTGCCCTCTTACACAAAACGTAGGGTAAGTAATATGTTAGGTGAAAAATTGGTCAAAGCTTCTCCCACAAGATTAAATCTCAATCATTGATCTTCATCCAATGGTTCACAAAAAACTTAAATAAAGTGGGTTAAGAGAACCATATTCTCACATTCTTCACCTTGGTTCTCATAACACTCTCTCTTGGTTGTGAATTTGCACATGGAAGAACTGTTCATCACATCGCCCACCACCTGCAAGAAAATTAACCAGTGTCAATATGTAATAAAGATAAGCACAATCTAAATTTACTTGCAGGTAGAATTTTTGTTCCCATATCAGAGGGATTCCTATCAGTGTGAATTTTAACAAGATTAACTTCACCTTGAGACAATTTCTCACGTATAAAATGATATTTCACCTCAATATGTTTAGTTCTTTCATGATAAACATGATTCTTACAAAGCAATAAAGCACTTTGACTATCGGTAAACATAACAAGTGTATCATGCATGAAGTTCAATTCTTTTAAAATTCCTTTTAACCAAGTACGTTCCTTAACCGCTTCGGTTATGGCAACATACTCTGCCTCAGTACTTGACAAGGTAACTAAAGGCTGCAGCTGTGATTTCCATGTTATACAATTGTCACCTAGTGTAAAAAAGTTCAATCCTGACCATATCGATGTAAGATTTGACTGTATTGGAGGGTTGGGAGCCATTAAACAAACATTGTATGAATTAGTCATTCTTCCTTTACAAAGACCCGAGCTGTTTTCTCATGGGAAGCTTCTTGGTCCACAAAAAGGTGTCTTGCTGTATGGACCCCCTGGGACTGGGAAGACCATGCTCGCCAAAGCAATTGCAAAAGAGTCAGGAGCTCTGTTCATCAATGTGAGAATATCAAATCTGATGAGCAAATGGTTTGGGGATGCACAAAAACTTGGTGAGTATATGTCATATTCTCCAAGTTCTTACTTTCCCTTTCATCTTTGGATTATGTTGATCGATTTAAAGTTTTTTCTAGCCTCTTTACATACTATGAATATTTTAATTGGTTTCTCATGAATGTGTTGTGGTGTTTCTCTTGTTCCTTCTTTCCATATGTAATCTATCTGTGTGTGTTTGTACTCGTAATTATATTGATTTATGAGTTTGGGGTGAGGTGGGAGTTTGTGTCAGATCTTTTACCTTCATTTACACTCTGGCTAGTTTTTCAAATTCTTGTTTGCATAGTCTTACTGATTTGCTGCACTTTCTTAACTTTGATTTCTAATTTCTTTTTTGTCCTGATGGATATCATAGCCATGTTTTATTACTGCATAATACTTTCTTTTCTTGGTACTGATTCTCCATGGTTATTCATTTACTAACTGTTACTTCTGATTAACAATACTTTTGCAGTCGCTGCTGTGTTTAGCCTGGCGCATAAACTTCAGCCAGCAATTATTTTCATTGATGAGGTGGATAGTTTTTTGGGCCAGCGCAAGACTACAGACTACGAAGTACTAACTAATATGAAGACAGAATTCATGGCTTTGTGGGATGGTTTCACCACAGACCGTAAGTTTCCTTTCCCTTCATGGGAATATTATTAAAGATAGTTTCCATTGCTCTTTAATATGCGTTTTTGTGGCTCATCCATAATGTGGTTATCGTATTGTTCAATATAATAAATGATACATATTGGAGACGTCACTTTTTGCTGATATGTTAGGATTTTGTTTATGCAGATAATTCTCGGGTGATGGTACTTGCTTCCACTAATCGTCCATCAGAACTTGATGAAGCAATTCTCCGCCGTCTTCCTCAAGCGTTTGAAATTGGGATTCCTGATTCTAGGGAAAGGTCACAGATATTGAAGGTGATTCTGAAGGATGAGACCGTTGAAGATGACATTGATTACGACCATATAGCTGGTATTTGTGATGGATACACAGGCTCTGATCTTCGTGAGCTTTGCAAAAAGGCTGCTTACTTTCCTATCAGGGACGTGCTCGATGATGAGAAGAATGGGAAATCATCTTCGGTTAGTAATTTCTCCTTTGATTGCTTAATCAGGTCTTCTGGGATTTTATTTTCAGTGTACAATAACTCGGGCTATGACGACCTATGATAGCAAGATTGATTATGTAATAATCTTAGAATATAACAATATTTTATCAATTTATAACCCATCTATTCCAATGAAAAGATTCAAGTTCTTAAAATGCCTTGCCCGCTTTAAATCGACTCCACTTTTATATCATATTTACTGGTTCAATCTGATAAGGAGAACCTAGTAAATTCCCATGCCCTCGGAAATCCTTTTCATGTGGCAACAACTTAAATGGTGTCACAAAGCTATAACATAATTCTCCCACTTGTTGCTATGAAATAAATTCTATGAAAATTACTGCTATGCTAGCTTGAATCTTTTGTTGTATCAGTTCATTTACAATGGCTATCTCAGGAGCCTTATTTAGATTTTGATGATAAAAGTTGATGAAATATATGGTTAAAATTAATTGCTGACTTTGACTTGAAATTTTTATCAATTTTTAATCTACACCAAACAGAGGCATAGTTTTCTGTGTGTTCTCCTGTGTATCGGCAGTTAATGGTCGCTTCTGCTGCAAACTTGATTTATATTTTGTTCTATCACAACTTATGAAATATAATTTCCAAAAGCATGAAATCATTAAGTCCCTATTTGATTTAGCTAACTATTAGATTTTTAGTAGATTTTAGAAAAAGTCGATGAAATGTGTGGTTGAAAATTCGATAAAAGTTGTGGGTCGCATAAAATGTGTTGTTGAAAATGAGTTTAAGTAAACAGACGTTGCTGGTCAAGTAATGAACATGAATGCTTTAATTCAGGTATGAATGTTCTAACTTCTATCGATTATCTTGTCAAATTTGTATGTATTTTCTAGGTGCCAAGGCCATTGTCGCAGTTGGATTTGGAGAAAGTCGTCTCTAAAACAACCCAGACAAAAGTTGCTGCAAGCGAATATTCCAAATTAAGCTCACAATCACCAACATGGCCAGGGCATAGGGATTCTGACGATTATCGGGTTCAAGCAGCCATTAATGAGCTATCTAAGCTCCAAGTTTCCCAAATTTTGAACATTCAGCCTGATTCCCAAGACTCTTGATTGTTTTTCCCGTCCTCAAAACCCTGCAGAAATCTTACCGTTTGCATAATTATGCAATTACATTAATTGTATAGGACTTTGAAAACCTTTTTGACATAAGATTAACCCCATTAGAAATTAGCATCTCCTATTTCGGGTTTTCGTTAATCTATACTTATTATATAACATATATAACATTTCTTGTTCACTTCCTAGTCTCTGCCTTATTGGACTTGCTACGTGTACACCCTGATTTATACGCTCTGATGTACAGAATTTACACTTGACAAGATTTCATACCATTTTCATATCTCACACAATTAATGCAATCAATAGGAAATTGTCACATATTCATCTGTAAAGTATGGTGTATATTTCATGTGTACAAGTAGCTTAGTCCATCATACTTTGTAATAATCTCCTCGATATATGAAGGATATTTAGGGGGCGCTTTCTACATGATGCAAGCTGAGCAGTGTGAGATCACAGTTGTAAACTTGATCTTCATTGTCAAAACCTTTTACTTTCACATTGAGTACAAACTAGTAAAATCCTGATACTTGCTTTTGTTATAGGCTCTGTTTGTTTTCTATTTTTGTAAAAATGAGAATGAAAAATATAGCCGTTATAGTCCCACACAAGAGATAAAAATTCAAATTTGGTGACTTGATATGATGAATAACGATCATATTTTTCATTTTAATGAGGGAAAAATGGAAAACAAAGGGGGGCATATTGTTCTCAAAATTTTAGAGATTACTATTTAATCCACGATTTGCCTTAAATAAATCTTTATAATCCATCGTTGCTCAATTAATGACACTCCTCTAAAACTAATAATTATTCACATGGCCCATTTCAAATCTAATAGTTCCTAACCAAATGAAATAAAAAATTTATTTCAATTAAGATCTCAATATAACCCGGAGGAAAGGTAAACTAAAACTAACATTTATTGACATAGCCCATTTCAAATCTAAAAGTTCCAAAACAAATGAAATAAAAAAATTATTTCCCCTTTAAAAGGATCCTAATTGTTGAACTAAACAACCTAAAATGCCAAATAAAACAACAAATTTGAGAATTGCAAAATCATATCATTTTCCACATTTCCAGATATATCTGAGATAAATCTTCAATCTCATCATCAATATGGCATCGAGTATTGTTTTTGGGCTTCATCTTTTCCTCATCAACCTTCGGCCTGCGCCTAAGCCTTTTGTGGGCCTGAGACGGGTCAAAATCATCATCTTCTTCGATTGGCCAAAAATTGGAGTATTCTTCCCACTAAAATGATCTGTAATTAACAATCATATATATAGAGAAATAACGCAAACACAAATTACAATTAACATCTCCATTTAGTAAATCATAAATATTCATAAAGGAAGAAGAAGCCAAACAATCTGCAAATGACGAGAGACCCAAAAGAGAACATAGAAAACTCCAAAGAGAAACAACAAGAAATGGATGTTCTAGACAATCTAGGAGAAAAGATCCTTTTATACCCAGCCACGCTAGCTGACTGGAGATCCCAAGATTTAGGCCTAATTGTAAAAATTTAATTAAATCAGTGTGAGTGATATTACCTCTTGTCTATTTCTATAACGTAGCAGTGATGCCATAAGGATGAAGGCTGAGTAATAGGCTTTTAATGATTTTTATGTATCAAAATTCGAGCTAAGTAACGCGGGTTACTTGTAATAAAAAATTACCTGTACGAAAGAGAAATGGGAACGCTTCTAAAAGGATTGCGTAGGGCTCAATTCTTAGAAACTCTCACAAAACCAAACATATGTTCATAGCCAAAACGAACATAATAATGAGAACAAAATTGTGTTAGGAATAATTTTGTGTGGAGTATATCCTCATTTATACAAACGGCAAAACAGTTCAAACACATCTAGAAAGGTAAATATACTTTCACAAGGAACGGTTAAAAGGGTAGTACACGCCTATCCTATGTAGATTCAACTGTTGAACTCTATCACCAAGCCTTTTATTTCACGGCTTGTGTCTCTCCTAATTTTTATTCATGTGGGGGATTCTTAGAAAAATGGGTTTAGTGGCTGATTTTGAAAAAAAATTGGGTGGGGCTCGGTTGGCTATTTTGGAAATTCAAGATTGATTTGTGTTCTCCTCCATGAAAATATCGAAATCATATATTTATTTGTCAAAAATAATGTTCAGATGAATGAGTAATTGAAGTTCAAAGTGTGTCAATTGAAAAAAATTTATGTGTTGGAAGGAAACAAATTAAAGTTTGTCTCATATAGGAAAATTATGAATGCAAATACCACTTTATATAGGATCATACTTTGAAAGTGTGTGATATGTAAAGCATAAAGGTTCTCTTTACGTGTGCGCACAAGAGGGCAAATCGGACCGAAAATAGCTTTGGACCTGAAAATTGGCCCCTTTAAATTACATTCTATTTTTTTCTCTCATATTTTCAACCACATAATTTTCCATAAAATAATATTATACGTAAATCGAAAACATTTCCTTCTTTTTCAACCACTCATTTTTCAAAAAAAAATATTATTCATCCCATTTTCATTACCAAAAAAGGGGGCCAAACGGGGGCTTAGAAGAGCCTATGGTTTGCCAAATTTTCCTCCAACCGATCTTTTAAATTTCAAAACTGTCAAAACTCCTATATTCATTGTCATTATATATGAGTTAATGACAATCATGTTGTTAAGCCTGTATAAGTAATTCGATTTCTACTACTATTCCACACACAAGAAAGAATACAACATACACTTTCTCCATAATTTTACAGGACACGATTTTTGCATAATTTTCTTGTTTACATACAGCATACATATTGTTTTGGTGACATTGTTCTAACATAAATTATGGTCGCTTGAGTAGTATTTGATGTGCTAAAATTCTACTGTTCCTCCGTTGTATATTGGGAGACAGATGTTTGAATTAATCCTCAAGCACCTACGATGAGGGGGCAAATCTGTTTGAAGAAGACTGTGTTCACATAGTCTCGGTTCAAGTGTATTTTAATTACTTGCATTTGGTTAATTAGATTAATTAGTTCTGTTTTATTGTAATTTAATCTGCTATATTTTGGCTAATTAAATTAATTTGTTTGTTTATTGTAATTTAATATGCTATATAATTTGGCTAATATTTGGTAAGTTCACTGCAAATTCGGTATCTAAAGGTCACTACAGATACGATATGTACAAAATCGGTATGTGCGAATCTGGAATCTAAGTTCACTGTATATATGGTATGTGCATTTACGGTAAACTGTATATACGATAAGTGACATATACGGCATGCGTCAATCCAACAAGTTGCATATACGATATGTGTCAATACGGTAAGTTGTAAATCTGGTATATGTACATCCGATATTGGTTAATCCCGTATTCCTTCACTAATATTTAGCTTTACACTTGCCTTAGGATAAATTCTGTAGATGTAATTTTAGATACAATTATACAAATATTGTTGACTTCTTATCAATTATGTAAAACTTTAATCATTGAGGTTCAGTGGTAAAAAGCTTTGTCGAGTTCTCAAGTTCATTGTAAAACTTAATAACTAGACCAGTCAAGAGTTCCACACATAAGAAAATTCTAATATTTTTCTTTTCTTCTTTGGAATTTGTTACAACCTAATTCTATGAAGGCTCTGAGTGGGCACCAACTTGGCAACAAAGGTAACTTGGATTTTCAGTAAAAAGACGTGTTTTTCCAACAATCTATCGCCATGTCAGGTGAAGGCCATGATCCATCCCCTTTCAACTTCATCGTTCTTATCATTTATTTGATCTCCATGAGGTACTGCCTAAGGGACGAACACCCATATGGCAAAAAAATTTAGCGAATCTGAATTTACACTCGTGTATCTAAAGAGGGATGTGTTCGATAAGAAAACCACTTCATTTGTTTTCTAAAAATCAACATATGAGTGTTGAAGATAGTGGAATTTTTTTTAGATTTAATCCTCTAGTTGCACATGGAAACAAACACAGGAAGCCGTGACAACTGATAGGAAGGCAACATGTAGAATTAGCGCTCCATGTCACAATCCTTCTTTCCTGAGAAATCTTCTTATAAGTAGAGATACACATGTAAAGGCATATGCAATTATCTAAACCGTGGACAAAATCTCTGCTTGTTTGACTCTCCCATGTCCAATTCCCACACGTTACTTTGTTTAGGCAGTTGACTGGACCAGTTAAGGAGGAGACGCCTAGATGAAGAAAATGATTGAAGAGTTGCAAAGAAAGCCAATTGATCCGACAACAAAAGAGGTTGCATCCAACAAAGTCCTTAGAGATTTGGCTCCCGTAGCAGTCATGGATCTCAGGATGTCTCGTCCTACCCAAGCAAATAAAACCTCTATGAAAGTCATGTCAACGCCGAATGACCCTCCTCATAGGAGAATGATCTACCTCTTCTGGGGCAATAGTAAAGATTTTCAAGGTCCGCCAGTGTCTTCGACATGTTTTGTAAATTGTTTTAAATTTTGGAGTGTCACCAATATCATTTCATAACACATACTTAAAGCGGAAATATTTGATTCAAAAATTTAAAACTCTTAATTAATTGAATACTCAAATATTGAAATAATGTCACAAAGCTTAGAACATTCGATAAAAAAAAACACAAAATACTCTAAAAAATTTATTATTGAAGAATTTTCTAAAAGATAAATTTTATTTTACTTGACAGTCCGCGCACCGCCCAGCCACCATCCACGTCGACCGCAGTGACCTAAAATATTGAAATTGAAGGAACAAGTAATTTATACTCAGTAGGATACGTGCGTCTAAACAATATAATAACTTTTTAAACATAATTTTATAACATTCCATATCATCATTTCGTCAAGAGCAATCGGTGATCAATCGAATACTCTAGCATATTTGAGAAGACCCGAAGGAAATCTCACATTTCATTTCATAGGACTCGCAGGTCAATTAGCATTTCATGAAATAAATCACATAAAAAATTCCAATATTAAAAAAACGGAACAACTTGCACAAAGTATCCTACCTTGATTGATAAAAAGACTTGTTTGAAGAAAAGCAATTATCTCACGTTCCTAATACCTTGTCTCTATAATCGTGTCAATGTGTGTGCTTCAAAAAAATAAATAAATCATCCATCTATTTATTCCCAACATCATCCATCTATTTATTCC